TGTTATAGTTTTTTTTTACTAAGTTGAAATCTCTCGATTTATTGGGATCCACTTGTGTTTTTCGTATCTTGGTGTACCCAGGGTTTGACTGGTTGGTGGAGAACGATAAACGGCAGCATTTTTTTTTTTGTTTTTGAAGTTTTGGACTACGAATTACTTTATTTCTCATTTTTCACTTTTAGTTTTTATTAGGTGTTTTTCTAGAGCATATCAGAACTTTTTAGTGTTCAAAAATGCTTCTTTTTTTGTGAGCATACACGTTTTAGTGATAATATAACCTCTTAGTTTTTATTTTTTCAGCGTCTTTAATTGACTTTTTTAGAGAAGATGGACATTGACGTTGTCTCGTTACTTCTACAAGAAATTGTTGAGTATGACTGGTTGGTGAAAAATGATAAAAGACAAAATTTTTTTATGGAAAGTCTTGAAGAGCCGAATACGATTGTTCGACAATGGAAATTAAAATATGCTTCTCATTTTTGGGAGGTTCTTTTGAGGAAGGTCCTGACTCTATTGTTTTTCTTTCTTAGTGTTTGTACGGAAGTGTTTTTGAGAGGTTTTTGTTTGAAGCCTAGGTTGTAAGCGTATTTTAGTGCAAACGAGAGGCTTTCAACTTAACGACTTCAATGCAATTACTTTATCTTGTAGGAATTTCAATTTTTAGTACGAAATATCCACAAACTTCACGGAACTACTTTAGATTGACGAGGATGCTAGGCAATTGTTATATCATAGAGTAGTCGGCAGACATTTAGGGGAACTCGTTCAGCATCCGTTTGCAAGTTATGTGGTTAGTGCCCTTATTGGATCTGCAAAGTCTGAAGAACTGGTTAGTTGTAACCTTTTTTTTTGGTATTAGATTGCATACTCTTTATTTGCAAATATTCAGATTTCTTTTCTTTCACGATTTTAAGATTACTGATTTGTTCGATGAGCTTTGGGAAACCATTCCGGACCTCTGTGATAATGGAAAGTGGCAAAGTATAATTGGTTTGATAAACGCTAGCGTTATTTATGAAGAGAAACAAAAAGGTCTGGTTAAGAAAATACGACAGTGCTTTTTTTGTGCCAAAAAGTCTCAGAGGAGTATTTTTATCCCGATGGTTTTTACTATGCGGTTGGCAAAAATAGAGCAAGGTTAGTTTACTGCAGCTGTTGGTTTTTTTTTATTACACGAAACATTTTCGTTTTATTTGTTGATTCAGGATCATCCTTTCCTTTTTTTCAGACGACAAAGGAAAAATCAGTTTTAGTTTGAAGTTTGGGGATCGTTACGGGTCACTGATCTTACAGAATCTGTTTAAATTAAAGCAGAATACTGCTCTGATTACTTCATTGAAGAGCATTTCGGAAAAAACCCTTGTTGATCTTGCAATGGACGAAAAAGGGACGTTTGTACTACAAGCGTTTCTCCAATCTCCTCAAGTCTCTTTTAAAGATAAAGCGGATATAGGAGACCTTTTAAAGGCAGGTTTACCACTTACCTGTTTTATCCTTATATTGTTTAGATTGCCAAATTAAACTATTTACCCGATGCACGGCTAGGTTTTACAAATTCACAATGTTTGTTTATCCAGCGTTTTCCTCATCACTGTCGTTTCCACCATGAAGGCGTGGCTTCAATTTCAGCCTCACTATTCCAAGCTAATGGGCGATAGAATTGGCAGTCATGTCTTTGATGGGCTGTGGGATAGCGGGGCATGGTCAGTGGGTACAAAACGTGATATAATGTCAAAATTATGTGTGGAGAAAAGCGAAGTTTGTTTAGTTTTTTTCTTCTGTTTTTATAGTGTGCAGTGTAATATTTATTATCAATGATTGTTCCGCTATTCTTGGACTTGATTACTCTTTGATTTTTAGGGGAAAACTATGCGATGGCGCAAAATTGTGACAAAGCTAAATGTTCGTGGTTTCCAGGAGAATCGCAATCACTGGGTTAGGGCTGAAGAGTCGAGGATTAGGAAACTGTTAGCAAAAAAAGTAGGGTGATCTCTAAGAGTGAAATGTTGCTAGGTCTTTCGCTGTTTTTGGGCTGTCACAGATCATTATTTGGTATTTTTATAGTTTTCACATCTTTATGTTCTCCTCCTTTGTTATGGAACAGCTTCTTAAGGATTTCATTATTGAAAGCCTTTTTAGCTGTGTAAGCTTTGGTTTTTAGTTATGTGGATTAGATTTTATTTGGGTATGAGATTTTTGTTGTGAATAAAATAGCTTTGCAATATATTGATATATTTTTTTGTTTATTATTTCGTACATAGAGAGCGTGATTTTCCTTCAAAATAACGGCAAAAGTTTTTTTGTATCACAGTCTAGAAAGTGTATTGTAACAGAAAAAGTAGTTGGAGTGCGTGATGCAAGCAATAATCTCTGGTATTTATTCAATATGGTTTCTTAGAGCCTGCGGTCGAATACAGCTTGATTTTGAGGGAGGAGGAGGGGAGTACTTCTAAGGTTTATTCTGCACTGTTGTAACTTTATAGTGACTTTCAGTAGCTGAGAGGTGAGCCGGTGCTTTGTTAAGAGAAATAAGTTTATGTTGTTTAAGATTTGTTCCGTTTGTGGTTGAAGGCGTCTTAGGGATTTTACGTTTTGGAGGCTGCGAAGTGAGCATTCTGCAGAACATTTCTCCAGTTCTCCCATTTTGGTGGTGAAATTTTAAATATTTTTTTTTTTTAGCTTTTTGCAAAAAGAAACGTTTTCAGAACACAATTCAGGATTTCATTAGTTTCGTTTCATTTGTTATAAGAAGTTTAAAGGCGGCAGTCAGAAGTTTCTTTGGTCTAGGATACTGTTAAGTAGACAATCGAGCTGCTGTAAAATACTATATTACTTTCCTATTTTTCAGCTAAATGGAAGTGGAATTTACATTTTGCATTAGGACTTACAGGGTTTAAAGACCAGTTGAAAATTTGAGCGGTGAAGTTTTGCATTTATTTGGAGTCTGCATTGAGTCTTAGGTATTTTCTTGTTTTTGTTTTTGTATTCGGATTTGTTGAGGACGGTAAACAGCAGTTCTGCCAAAGAATTTTTCATGTTGCTAGTCTCGTTGAAACAGTAAAGCCTCGAGTAGAGCTTAGTAATTAAAAGCAGAATAATTTTTCGGTTTGATAGTGTGGAAATAGATTGTCAATGATCCGCGAAAGGAATCACTTAGTTTGATTTTTTTTCTTTGGAAAATGAATGCGATTAAGAAGAACGAAACACAAAGGAAGAAAATGAAGCAAATTATCAATTTTTATGACAAAGAACAAACAAATTCACTAAGCAGTTCTTTCACTTTTT